AAATTATATATAAATTGTATACTTAATCGTAAAAGCCGGAAATTGTTCAAATCCTAACATAAAGTGTACATAAAACTCGTAAGTAAACAAATAGATCACAATCACGCTATTGTGCTTATATTCCCATAGCAAGAGTAGCATTAGGACTCGTGGAATTTTTTTGTATTCCGCCACAATCACTAAATTTGCGAGCGCTAGGCACAGCTCCGGCGTCTATACGTATAAGTACATTATATATATCGTTCCATTGAGCACAGCGCACAAACAGCCCCACCCATAAAGGCTGTGTGTAGTATCATATACGTGGGCCGGCACAAGAGCGTGGCAAGAGCTTATCTCCTAGACGCGTTGAGGAAATAATATGCTGTTCGCGCGCGCGTACGCCAGATCTATCCTGCTGTACACCCCCGGACCAAGGAAAAGGCGTGCGTGCGTGCGTATACGCAATGTTTACTGGAGCTTGCAAGCGCGTCCATGTTATCGTTCGCATAAATATATGTCCAATATGTTCCTTGCCGAAACTGTACACCTCGGAGTCTGACTCGTCTTCGATTGACCTACACAAGCAACGATAGTTCGTCCTGAAAAAATAATAATCACATATTCTTCAACAAATCTGGGCACGCAAGTTTGCCAGATCGAGCTTTCCTCAAGAAAAAGCTCACATCCTTTGAGAAGTCATAGCTCGAAGTGGTCGAGATCGCCATAATATAACGTATAATACATCGGACAAAAGACTGCACGCAGGCAATATACGCCGAGTACGGTACACACGTCGATAATCCGGGCTGTGCGATACCTTTCCCGGGCACATACATAAACGAAGCGCAGCCAAAGCGTGTTTTTACTGTTATATCAGTCTAAGCAGGCGAGCAGGCAAAAGTTAGCCGTAAACAAGACAAAAAATCGCGCCATGCGGCCAATATTGCTTGTATAAAGCTTTCCTCTCAGCTTGGCCACACACACACACACATACTCAGATTCGCTCAAAGCTTCAAACGTGTTTGCGCGATGGTGGTATATACAGGTACGTGGGCGAGGATGGTCTACGCGGGGCCGTATACAAGCGTGGCGCGTATATAATGCGCTGCAAAGCGAGCCCCGGCAGCGCAGACGATTTATTCGCAGTACGTTAGAGCCTCGGCTTCTTAGCTCTCTTTCCATATAGCACACACATACGTAGAGCGACGTACGTTGGTTGGGTATCACTAGACACTGTAAACGTGTAGGGCAGAGAAGGACACTTTGTGTGCGGTGTGTGTGCTATAGGGTGTCGAATCGTGCATGTAGCCTCGGGGCGCACTCGCTCGTCGTGCATGTGTGCGTGATTTTATCTCGAGGCGAGCTTCGTCGCGCGCGTTGTTCGCCTCATCCTGCAAGCTCACTCTCTCTCTCTCTCTTTCTCGAAAGCGGCACGGGCTATTGGAGATTACGCGCTCCATGCCTGCGCGCAATGTCCATACGATATATATAATATGTATGTATAGGCGACGCCTGAACGCTAAGTAAAGGATAAATCGGGTGGTTGGGGGGTTGCGGAGAAGGTGGAGGTGGAAGAGGAGAGTAACCGGCATGTCTGTGCGACGCTAACCGCTATTGAATTTTAATAAGCCCGCAGCTATGTGTATGCGTTCGAGCTCGGTGTCTGTGTGTGTGTACGCCGTCGCATATATATAAGCCACTGCGCTTACATTCTTATATATTCCAAACTCAATGAACTGCACCGAGAGTTGTTGCGAGCGTACGCGCGGCAGGCGAGAGGAAAAGAAGAGGGGGGGAGGCGGAGGAGGAGGTGGCCGAGCCAACGCCAAAAGTTAAGCTGCTATCTCTCCACGGTATATACGTTATGCATTATATGTGTATAGATATTTCCGGAGCTAAGTTGAGCTTACGTACATGTACTGCAGCTCACACCTGCCCCGGTTCATGATACGGTGTGAGAGGAGACAACATTTTTCTCTGTTATATTTTACAATATTTTTTTGCTTTTTTGATCTTTGAGCTAGCTCCTCTTTTGAAAATTCTTTGAAAGATGGACCACGATCGAGTCCGTGTTGATAATTTATATGAGCTTTTTTATAAACACGCTTTGAGCTTATTAAAATACTTACCATTATATATTCACGCATAAACTCATTAAAGTTTTTTTGATGGAATCTTTTGGGAATGGAGGATTTTATAACGAAATTACTAAAATGCTGAAAATTCAGTTTATAGTATTTTTGAAAGTATTCGCAGGTCGTGTAACGAGGCATACCACATAGTGGCATGATTTTTTCAGAAGTGCAGCTTTTGAAGACTTCTTTATGATGTCACGATACAAATTCAAAAGAGCGATATCAATCTGAATTTTTAATATTGAAAAATTCAAGAGTTAAATTTCGAAACTCACTTTAAAAGTTACACCGAACGCCAAGTTTTCATTATAATTATTAATATACTGTAACTTACTTTGTAATTTGAGGAATATAAAAATATCACAAAATTTTTTCACATACATTTCGAAGGTACACAACTTTTCTCAACATATATCGTCAATATATGGCTACAGCTGTTATTACTCGAGGCGATGCGCGCATCCTATATCTCTTTTTCTGCGCGAGACAACATTTTTTGCTTTCCGTGTCCGGGTGGGTTGAGCACGAGCGAGTCGAAGCGATGCCGCCGCGCTCGATATATCTATCATCCTATCGCGGCATTCGGTATTGAAAAAAAATTGCCCTTTATACTCCCGGCCGCGCTGCGAGCTCCTTGTAAGACGCGCATAGATATAAATGTGTCCGTAATGATTTAGGGCGAAACGGCAATAGTCGTTATATACCGAGGCACATCAGCAGCAGTAGTAGCAGCCGTCGCGAGACTGCAAAAGAGGGAGACTCTTTTCTGGAAAGAACGCGTAGCTCTCGCGATACTAATTGGCAGCGATAAAACATTTCCTCGACGCTTACCTCTCCGCAAAGAATTTCATCCAGCGATTGACAGAGCACAGCAGCAGCAGAGTAGCAGCAACTGTACCCGAGCCAAGAGCTTTTGCTACATGTATAGCTGTGGCTTCGTCGAGGAGCGAGAACGTTTCTAATCAAGCTCGTCCGCGCGCAAGAGGATAACATATCGCATCTCCGCGATCGCGATATATTTTCTCTCGCGTGGCTTCCAAAATGAAATTTCTTCAAATGCGCTGGTAGTATAGCGTCGATTAGCACGCGTGCACACGCCAGCTGTACAACAGCGAGCCAACTCGAGCTATAGACCGAGAGAGAGAGAGAGAGAGACATTTTCCCGAGCTCGTCGAGTGCACCGCACGTGTATACCTATACGTAATGGGGATCCTGACGGTTACACATAGCACATCGTGAGCTAGCGACAAACTCGGGAAAAGGTAATAATATATAGGAGAGAGAGAGAGAGAGGGAAAGAGAGAGAGCTTGCAGCAGTTATACGGAGGGCGAGGCGAGGGAGACTATCCGCGCGCTGTAACGCGGTAAGGGCGGGATCGAAAGCTGCGCTCTCGGGGCCTCGCTGCTGCTTTACTGCCTGGCAGGAATGTAATACTCGGGGCCGGGGGTGGGTGAGAGCGAGAGAGAGAGAGAGAGAAAGAGAGCTATACAGAGAGCTCGACGGCATGTATCGTGTACCAGTGCAGCAAAAGCTAAAGAGATGCTGCTGCCGCTGCAACAGACCCTACTGCAGGCGATCTACATCTATATGTACGTACGCGCGCGATACAAGCTCACTGTCTGCCGCTGAGTTACAGAAAGTTTTGGTAATTTTCGCCGCTAACTTTATGCAATTTTTGCTTAATACTTGCTACCCTCCCACCCGGTGTGCACGCAGGGCTCTCCTCGACGCTGCTGCACGTTATATTTCCAGCATTGCGCGCGACCACCTCGAGTGTTTTTTTCAATGTTTACACGACCGCCTCGTTCAAAGTTCAACTTTTCTCTCTCCCTCGCTCGGTATTACATGGAGGTCTAGCGGGTTGGCGGCGGTATAATATATTTTACCAACTCGCACGGCGCGGCGCTCTGCTGCTGCCTCGACTATGTTTTATCTCATAATTTCGTTTCATTTGCATTTTTAACTTTGCAATTTATCCCAGTTTTGTGTTATCATTTTTTGATAATTATTTTACATTAAAAAAAAAAAAAAAACAGTGCCTGGAATCTAATAAATTATGTTGGTTCTGACAACGTTTAGCAGCAAGATTAAGTCTTGCATAATGAGAGAATTTATCTAGCTAAGAAATTTAAGGCTCCGTTACTGATACTTTTGATCAAAATTTGAAAAAAATTAAGTTATTACTCTTAACAATTTGAATTACAATTACAAATTGAATCTAATAAGAGAGTCAATTTTTTATTAAATTTGCTTATACATAGAAGTTACTTAAACCTCAATGTATGTATAAAATCAATCAAGTCATTAGGCATTGACTTCTAAGAAAATATTTTTTAATGTGTATTGGCTAATAATGTATAAAATTTGAACATAATTCTGAATAATTATAAGCAATAATAAATGCATGATCTTCACTATGATAGGATTTTGAAGTACCTACTAATTACATTCAATATATTTCAATGTAAAAATGTAATCAGAAAAGACATTTGTCCCTGATATTGACAACCAGAAGAAACTGCAATACGTAAATGTACACATGAAATCAAAAAAGTCATTAGTTATTGACAACTAAGTCCAATCTAGTAAAACATACAATTCACTTACAACATGTGTAAGCAGCGATAATGATTATTCAATTAGATTCTAATAATTATAGAAATAATTTTTTTTGTAGACTAATACGTTTGAAGATAATAATGGTATTGAGCTGGGGGAACTTATATGTCAATAATCTATAATGTTCAAGGAATCATCAATAATCAGCAGTATTACATAAATGATTGACATTAAAACAATATTATTATGCTAGTAGTTATTGTACTAGCATGTAAGTAGATAGTAATAGAAAAGGTTTAACAAATAAATTGTTACACCATTGCTAAATTAAATATTACTCATTATTCATGATGAAAATAATTTTTCTAAGCTATACAAAAATAATAAATCACTTATCATTATCACTCGAATAAAAATCCCAATGTAATTTCAGTCACTTTTTTCACAAATGTTTGAAAATATTCAGAAATTTCCCTCGGGTCATTTCTTTTGACTCTTCAACTCCTAAAGAAAAAGTTTCATCCAAAAGTTTTTTGGCTTCTAAAACTATTTCTTCCTTTGACAACTGACTAAGGCGATAAACTTTGTTCATGTCCTCTTCATCTAATGAAGTATTAAACGATGGACAATCAGGCTCTGGTAAATGGCGCGCAATAAATTTATTAATGCATTCTTCTGGCCATAAATCTGGCGATGCTCTGTCTAATTTTTCCATGCTCATCAAACTCTCTTCGGTGATGCTTGTTTCCGATGTCTCCTCATTTGAGTTTTCTGTGAATTCTTCAGCATTTTCAGTTTCCATTACCACTTCCATTTTAATTCTACTTAACAGTTGAGTTAATTGAATAATCTGTAAAAATCAATTTCCTTGTTAAGTTTCTTTTGACTCATTTAATAAAGTTCATGACAAAGCATGATTGTTATGCTCATCAAAAAGTGAGGTTAACCATAAGTTTCAAGTAAACGTAAAACACATGATCAAGTACTTGCATTGAATTACTATAAATTAATGTAACTTATTGTAATAAAAATCAAGTTAAGCATAACATTATTTAGTTTAAATAGTATTGGACTCAAAATTTAAAAATCAAAATGCATGAATTTCGTACCTGTTGCTAACAATGATTGTTGATGTCTATACAATGCTGTATAGTTTATAAAATACAGTTTTTACAGCAAAAAAGTGTAGCGGCTGATACGACACGTGCGTATCGAACAAAACAGTCAAAATATAGCATAAACTTTTATAAACAACTCAATAAATCCACACATCGAATTGGTACACGTTAAATACCTACTGTGTTTATCTTTTCGAACTGACTGGCGCGCAACGCACGCGGCGTGCCTTTAGTCTCGTGATGGTGCTGCCGGCTGCTGGAGATCAAGATCATTCAGCGATGTTCATGCCGGTCAGCAGACAGCATTGATAATAACAAATAAATAAATATTCGAGCTCAGCTGCGATCGCGCGACTTAAAAATTTTATCGACATTGAAATAAGTATGTCTCGTTTCGAACTTCGATTGTTCTCGAGTCTAAATAATGCACGACATCATTGTTATGGATTGCTATAGTTCCAAACATAAACATAGAGTTTAAATTATCGCAAGCAGTTCTTACGGGCTGATTCGTGCAAACATAGCAAATCACTGTCCTGATAATTAAGTGTGATAGTCATATTTTCTAATGACAATTGTTTAAAAGTTAAAAGTTAGTAAAATAAAGTTAATATAAAAGAAAATATTGTCTTTAAACATGGTATGTTCGTACCCTTTGGTTTTTATGTTAATATTTTTTATTGATGGTTAAAATAATAATTTTTTCTTAAGGCTTCAATTTCCAATACAACAATTTGCCCAAAAAAAAGTATTGAAAATGGAGTAAGGGGTCTTAAATTAGCAATGCTTGGTGATTATGAAGACGCTATAAATGCATTTGTTGATGCTTTGTACTATGATTGTGACATAAGGCATTACTTGAATCTTTGCAATTGTTTTATACGTCAAAAAGAATTTAAACTGTAAGTTACTGATGTTGACTTTTCAAAACTTGTTTAGTTGTGAAAAATTTTATAAATTATTGCCAATATTTCAGAGCAAAAGATTATGCAAAAGAAGCCCTAAGTATTTTAAAGCAATCAAACAGTCCCATGACATCTAAATATAAGTTTTTGACACAATTTATAATGGGACAAGCTCATTATGGCCTGAAGGTAAGATTTTCTATTTTAAGTCCGTTAGGTTGAAAATCAAATTATAATTTTCTATTTTCAATAGAATTACAAAGAGGCTGAAGTAGAATTTTCCAAAGCGTTTGCTTTATTTCCAACGAGTAGACAAGTTGCAAATTATTTGAGATGTGTCAAAATACAACAAATTCTTGATTTTGGTTTCTCATACAAAGACGCAGTCAAAGCTTTAAAAAATTATCCCAATACAGAGGTAAATATTTCAGATTTTATTATCTTTTTAATAAGTAATTGTTTTATTGAAAAATTATATAAACAGGAAGCAATTAAATTTCTCTATAAATCGAATCCAAATTCTAAAACAAAAGAGCTGGAAGAAGAATTTTCACATTCAGATTGTGATGACTGGGTTTTTGATTCAGATGAAGATGAAAATTTATTAGATTTCTGAATAAACTTTAAATCCGATACGGTTCATACTTTCAAAGAGTATCTATAAATAAGTATAGTTAAAACCATTAATGAGGTATGATTATTTATGCTAAGAACCTGTTAAACATTGAAAAGCATGACTCAAAAGTTTCAATAATTATTTTCTATAGATAAGCATGAAGAATTTAAATAGTCATTATAATTAATTTTGTTATATGAACTTTTATAGCTTTAAATTGAGCTTCATAACAAAATATACTATATTAGTTGGAGAAATATTGAATTTAAAATTACCAAAAACAATAACATACTAGTATCAAAAATAATATTTATAAAACTAAGTAAAACTGTCTGAAATAAATACCAAAATTTTTGTCTTCTCTAGCTTATATAATGAAAGAAATGTTATTTATGAGATAATGTATGCAATGAATTTAATTCATTATCATTTTGTTACCAAATAATGAAAGAAATGTTATTTATGAGATAATGTATGCAATGAATTTAATTCATTATCATTTTGTTACCAAATAAACTAGACTTATAATGAATACCATGATACTGTGAGTAACAAATACTTTTGAAAATATATATTATTTGTACCTGTGACTAATGACTATGAGTGAGGGCTCATTTTAAAAATATTTCTTGGAATTTTTTCACAAGAAGCTTTTCTCACGTCTTTGATATAGATTGGTTCTAACATAGTTTTCAATGACTTTTATGGCTTCACTAATGGGTAATTTCGCGTCATTTATAATAAGTAATTGCACCACTCGCAATCTCACACAGCCCAAATCGAATCATATCTTCGGCGAAAACTCGTCAGACGGACGAGACGGATATTCATCGGAATTGTGTGTGCTTTACGAACATCTCGTGCGGCGCGGCGGTCATCGAACTCGCGCGCACGACACAGTCCGACCGATCACTCGGGAGAAATATCGGTTAGAGGAATTGGGTCGGCGGTGCTCGCGCCCTGCCACCGAGACCTAATTAAGATATGGTCGGGACTGCGACGCCTACAGCGGCACATGCATGATACACACAGCCTCGCGTAGGGAATCTGCGCTGCGGTGCACAGATCAGCTGCGCAAGCTCGTGAACAATATCCAGGGTAATTGCCGTAAGCTCGCAAACGACGAAATTCGAGTCGAGCAGTTCGACAGTTTCGGCCCCTGACGTTGATTGAAGGAGTGATTTTCGGTTAATTAGCTTTCCCGTTTCCCCCGGCCGTATATAAATGGATGATTATCGAAAAATGCAAATTTCATGTTTAGCCTTATTTAGAGTACTTAACATTCAAGTGTCTACATAATCGAATATTCAAAAAGTATTTTTTGATTGATCATCAATTTATAAATTTGTGCTTATTCGACGCTTTGTTGCAGTATGCGTGTATTATCAAGGTGTATTAAATTAAAATAAAATTAAAGACTTTGTACTGTCAAATCACTCGAAGTAAACGTCACTCGGTGACATTAAACTATATTAGAGTTTTACATCCCGTAGTCACAGTTCCTTCGAACGAAAAAGATAGCAGTACTCGATGATTACTATATTGACGAGCGACGCGGAAAATCAAAGGCTCCTTGAGTTCTCTCTGAACGGTGTCTCGGTGGCAAAGCTGTAACGGCTATACGTACACGTTACATACGCACATAATCCCTCGTACGACGTGCATAGTTGCAGCCAAAGCGCAAAACAGCGATCCGCGAGACGAGTTGTACACGTCGTCGACAGAAAAGCTCGGAAGCTCGATCGCGCGATAAAGCACACACCTACTGCAGCTAAAATGCGTATAACTGTACAGCATAAACGTTGTGGCTACGGGGCGCGGCGCAACAGATCTCGATTGGCGCGCTCCATCGATCTTGTACAGCTCTCGATCGCTTTTAACCGGTGTGAGAACCGCCTCGTTAATCCTTGCGGCTTATAGTACTACTGCTGCTACGAATCCTGCGTGTACTTTAACAGGAAATATAAAAGTCCAATTGCGATCGGAGCCAAGAATTTATCTTCTTTGAACAAAGACCGTTCGCGGTTCTTATATACACACGTTATACGTACAACGGCGGCCGTGTACGCTCGCGCGTCGGCTTTATACGTGTTCGCCTCGGTAATCGATGGATATCAGGTACACCCACACAAACACAAACACACATACTTTTACCGTTATAGAGCTTGCAAGTTTTCGTAGGTTTCGTAGTAGCTTTTCGGGTGCGTGTGTGTGCACGCGCTTATATAATAATAAAGTACGCCCACGCCCAGTAGTCAACGTGTGTGAGTGTGTGTGTATATAGAGCGCAGCAGCAGTCTCCTCGACATAGCGCGCCCAACTTGCTCTCTTTCTCGGACTGCTCGTTTTTTGGAGGACGAATGTAATGGCCGCACGTGAGCCGCCTGCCCAAGCGAGCTTTGCGATTTTATTGCGCCGCCGCGTGCTAAGCCCCGCGAGCGTCAAGTGTGTACGTATATAAGTGTTATATACCTATATGTAGAGCTTGTTGCCGCGCGCGCGGTGCTAAGGAGCAACGAGTTAGAGAAAAGAAATATACCGAAGAGCTGCGGCATCTATTATTGAGTTTTCTCGAAACATCCGCGGCACGATGAATTGTTTCGATCTTTACCAGCGAATTTAGTCGTTATACTACACACGAGACTATTACAGCTATCGTCGCGCTTATTCACGTCTTATATATTTCGTTTGCGATTTCGAGCGACAGTCTAGTCTAGGTGTATAATATAAAGCGTGTGATATACGGGTCTTTTGAGCCGCTCTCGCGCCGCGCGATGCTACGTACTACGGACGCGTCAAGGCGCGCGAATGTAGGCCGGCGTCATTATCGGCGCGCCGAAGACGACGTCGCGCCCCTCTCTGCTCTGTGTGATGATTAAATTTTTCAAGATGATGATAACCCCGGTCGGAGATGCAATTAAAATGCAGAATTTTTCAAATTAATCCAGCAGCGGTGGCTCCAACAGTGATAGCAGCAGCAGCAGCGGTCGCGTGGAATAATAATTAGTATGTATTCGCGAAACGAGTGAGAAATGAAGAGGGAAATACGATTTTTGGTTTTCAGGGCGCGTGCCAGTAAGCTTGTAAAGACTCGATTCGAATAGATGTAATATATAGGCTATAGGGGTACATTAAAAAAGAAAAAAAAGAAAAACGAAAAAAGGGTAAAAGAGGAAAAAAAAATATTCATCAATGCGGCACGATCGTACGAGTGCATTATACCTATACCCTACGCTCGTCGTAATGACTCACAGACCTCGAGCTTTCTCTCTCTCTCTCTCAGTCTGTGTGCATGCGATGGGCAGTACGCGGGTAATATATACGATGAAATCCTCTTCGCGTTTTATGGCCCGGAGTTATTAGTCAATTAAACAAACACGAGCGCGCGCCTATACATGCACCACGGAGTATCCATACGCTCGGGAGATTATTTTAATTTTTTTTTTGCTGCTGCTGTGCATCGTCTGTGTACACAATATGCAGCGGCAGCAGCTATGTGCGTATTAATTATAAAGCACATTATATTGCGCACGTCGTGCGTACAACGTATTATTATATATAATATAGACGATCGTGCTGTACTCGGATAATCGCCTGCGTAAAAATACGCAAATGCGCGCGTTATATGCATACGATGATATTATATCGACGATATTTAAAACGACCATACGTGCCACGAGTATTTATCTATATGACTCATGGGTAGAGGGATCTATGAAATATATTATTTGATTGCATCGACTGCTCTTCCTTTGAAAGGATTTAACACGAGCTCTTGTGCGCAAGCTCGCAGTTCGTCGCTTCGCGCACGAAATAGTCGTCCTCTATAATACGTCATCCGCACTTGAACTATGTTTGATAGGCTTAGCACTTGTGATTTTCCCAATCTCTTTATCCTCTGTCTGCAATTCCGATGAAAGAATTAAGGCGTATACACGACGCGTGAGATACATTTCGCGAGCTTGTGTATAAGTATCCCATATATACCTATAGGCGATGTACTGCTGTATATATACGACGGTGGGTATCGTACACCAAGCGGTTTAGGTGTGCTCAATTTTGGCCTATCTCGAGCTCGATATATTATAATAGCCCTCCGGTACATATACATATATCTATGCGCATGTGCAAGCAGAAGCGTAAACGGTGCAATCTTGATAACTCGCCAAACAAGGCAGCGGTGGTAAGCAGAAGCAGCAATGGGAGGAGAAGGAGGAGAAGGTGGAGGCGCCTAGGCTCCGAGTATGCCGATTGATTCCTTCCCCTTATAAGCAACTATACAGTATACCTGTACGTATTTATAGTTATATCGCGTATATTGTATGATAATACACGGCAAGCTTAACCCAGCGATATGTTCTATACATATAGGCAGGCACAGCGCAGAGCTAGCCCCGCGATCATTCCCCAGCGTCTCTCTTGGTGCACTTGCTCACCAAAACCCACGTGTGCGTACTTTACACTTACACACAGTTATGTGCCGCATAGCCTCGTTAGAATTATTAATTGCTCCGGTGACCTTATACTTATATACATTACATCTACCTGACTATATCCAAAGGGATAATAGATACAAGAGAACGCTGCGGGCTGCCGTTGACTCTTTGCTCCTCTGAGAGCAGCAGCGCCAGCAGTCCATTTTTTTATTTGCAATTGAGGTTTACTTTTATTTCATTGATTGGCTTCGATTATTTTGCGGATTAAAGCTTCTTCTTTCTTTCTCTTTCTCTCTATCTCTCTCTCTTTTTCTCGTGCTACACAATACATACTACATATATAGCTCGTACCCTACTTTTTTCCTTTTTTTCCCTTCCCCCTTTTCGTTTTTGTTTTCATCGATTGGCCTCCAGTGAAAATAACCTTTTCTCGAAATAATGGCGCGCTGCACTGCTGCCTGAATCGAGCTGCACTGTTTTATTGCAACGACTGGATGACAAAACCACAAAAGTCAAATATAATTATCCTTGTATACGACGTATGGAAGCTCGATAATTGGTTCCAATTTTGTATTTTTATTTTTTATTATTGGAACAGCGAGCAAAAGTATGTATCATTACGCGTGTTGACCAAAACGAATATTGTCATTACTTCAAGGAAATATTGTAGATAAAAGAATCTAAGATGTAGGAAAAGTTCAAGTGTCGACTAATTTTACAGACAATAGGCAAAGAGTCTTAATTCTCTTGATCGACATCTTAAAGAAGTAAAAGCAATATAGAAAGCAACGCTCCCGCAGAAGCTCTGTAGAATACAGATTTTTATATCATCGATACAATAATCGATCAGGCGTCACGTCAATCCGCATCCTGTATCATTTCCGTCGTTTCAGCAGCCAACCGTACCCACCCCGGCTCACGGTAATTATATAATAATGTTGTCACGAAGAGCGCCACGACGCCAGAGCATTATAGACAGCACAAATACACACTTTGACATTAGCTCTATATCGACGTGTAAATTCAGCTTTGCCTCTGACTTAGAATTACGTAATTCTGGAGAGCATAGAGCAGCTCGCGGGACACGCTCGTCATG